TCTAGGGCCACTGTCCTAATTAACATGTGTCCTTTCAATTTTACCCTTACCTTACTGATGTCACACCAACTTTTCTGTCTTCCAAAAGAGAAGAATATCGGATGGCTCTGAAAGACAAGAGGAACTGCCATTGTTATACTGTATTCCCCCCCCCTCGGTGTCTGTGGCCTAAGGTGTTTGCTTTCACTCATCTTGCTAGGGCCAACCATTGTTAAAAAAAAAAAAAAAGGAATTCCCACACCAGCATGATTCACTAAACAATGTTTCTAGCGGCACTTCAACAACACCTACTGAGTAGGAAATCCTAGATTACTTTGTGTGCATGTATCACATAAACCCATAGACTGGCTGGATAGCTCAGTGACTTGGCTACCTGGCTGTAGTCTGAGTGACCAATTCCCCACTGTGCCTCCCGGGGAATGAGCTAGCCTGCACAGCCTTGAGTAAGCTGCCTAGTCCCAGGGCGTTGCCTGAAGGAGGAAATCCTAAATCACTACCGAGTACTTTATACCAAGGATACCCAGAAAGGGCTTTCCATAAGTCAGAATGCACATGATTATTACTACCACAAATTTGTAATGCCAAGGACACTCCCCAAACATAGTGTTATCTGACTGTTACTACTCTGTGAGTTAATTTATACACGTTGTAGGCAGCTACGTTTTGCTGCGGCTCCATTTTGTATATTTCTGAGTCACAGTTTTGAAACACAGAGGTCTATACAAAGAAATGTTGAGTAATTCCTTTTGAGCAGCAAACATGCTTTTTCACTCCAAAAGAGGGCTGCCTAACATGGAATATTTCCCAAAAAATAAAAGCAGCATTTCTAGTTCTACATACACCTTCCCTCTGTTCTTTCCTTTTACTTGACTACAATAAAACAAAATTTATTACAGTTTTAATAGAAAAAAAAGCAGTACCTGTTTCTGCTCTGCTGCATAACACTGTCCTTGCATAATAAAGCAGCTTTGTCATTGCGAGAAACCCCCTGCATGGTTTTTTCAAATTGGCAACATTTCCCCTAGGTTCCTGTCCCTAGCAAACCTCCTGGCATACACCTCCCCCGTTCCCTAAAAAACACAATTGAACAATCTGAGTGGTGAAAATTTGATTTTAAAAAATACTGTTTCCCCCCCTCCAAACTGATATAGCAATTGAAACACATGGAAATGGGGGGGCAAAATCCTGGTAGGAGGGAGGGAGCTGGAGATACTTTGTTCAAGGAACCCCTTGTCTGCCTCATCAGAGGGGAAAATCAGCACCCAACATGTGTTCACCTTCTACTGTGTGAATGCTCATTTGTCTGCATGTGTTTGCACGCATTGGCACCCACCTGTGCCCTGGCTCTGTCCATGTTTGCTGCCAACAGGGGGCAGTCGCTGCCACATGAATGGCAACATAGTAGGAGTGAATAGATTTGCTGCCTCACCTATGTCAATTGCTTGGTTTGCTTGTACATAACAGATCCAAGCAATGAAAGTAATTGCTGGCGTGAACCAGCTCATCCTCAGAGCACTGTTACCTACACCTTTCTGGATCCCTGTCTAGGGCTTCTGCTTTTTTGTTGCAGGAAGAACAGCTTAATTTTGATTTCTTTCCAGCTTGTGTGATGGCTGGAAATGAACCACAGCAAGCTTGCAGGTGCTAATTTGCCTTCCTTTTTCAATTTCCCATATAGTTAAGTGGCTTAAGAAGACAGCTTAGCCGCTTCACGATATTGGGAGACTAAACACTTCCCCTGCTCCATGGAAGGGTAGAGGAAGTAAAAGTTTTTTTTAAAAAACTGTATTAGGGTACTGGTACTGCATTAGGGCACTTAGGGAAAAAATAAAAATTTGGAAACTTTCTCTTGGTAGTGGAAGAAGAAAGGAGGTGCTAATAGGGGGTTAATTACCCAACAGGCATGTGGACCAAATAGGGTCACTTGAGAATAGTATGCCTCTGAATGCAAGGATTGCACCAAATGGCATACCAGACCTCTACCCTACCTTAAGCGACCTCATTTAGCCTGATGAAGCCCACTCCTTATGAGCCCCTGTAGACAAGTCCTTAGATACACAATGGGATGGACTGGCCAACTTTTTCCACTACTGCAGTCCTACAATTAAAAGTAAGATTGATTCCAGTTGCTCATTAAGAATGGTTCTTTGGAAAGGACAGGGTAATTGCTGGGTTGGATTTTAGCTCTTAGGCTCCAGAAGTGTACATTGAATATAACAATTTTAATTCGCCCAGACTCTTACAGGTTCTCACTGCTATTCTGTAGCTTGGGCATAATACTGTTTAAGAAGCTAAAACTAATAATGTCATCTTGATCAGACAATTTGAACTTCCATAGACACAAACTTTTTATGTTTAATGACATAAATGATCTTTATTAACACATCCTTGAATAGTTGCAAGCCTGAACATTTACAGTTAAATAAAGCTTAGCATTCAAATGTCTGTGCACATGGATTTAGCTGTTACGTACATAGAAATTACAACACTTAGTAGCTGCCAGACCAAATAAATACAAGGCAAAGGATTAAAAATAATGAACTGACATTTACATCAAGAGTTTTGTATTTTCACTGAAAGTACACACTTGTATCGCATTGCAAGCTAAAAAAATATGTCCCCCTGACAAGCTCCCCTAAATGCTGAACTGAACCACACTGCAGCATTACAATGTAATGTCCATTAATGTCAATGCTAATTCGGATGCACAGTGCAAACGCAGTTGAAGGAGTTAAACCATAACTTGTAAACAAAATCCAGTCCATTTTTTTTAAAATTAGCTTATAATCTTGAAATAAAAGAATTGCAAAGCAACACGAGAAACAACAGATATCAACACCGAGCAATTTGTGCTTTCAAGAACATCAACCTCATCAGCAAAGAATAAACCTATTTAATTGCATGTTACAGACAGCCATTAGTCTCCTCTCCCCGGTACAAATATTTGCATTTCCAGTCCCATAAAATGTATCATCATTTAAGGAACATTTGATATATGCAATTCAAAGATGAAGGCTATTCCTCTTTGACCAATGATGCTTTTATTACAAGTCATTCTTCAAGGTGCAGAAGCAACTTGAGATCAGTGAAGGCCAACTGTAGATGGCTTTGTTTAATATTGCCTTCTAAGTTCAGTTAAAGAAGTTCATGACACCCTGTGAAGCCTGAACATCCCAGATTTGTGCCACTTAAGACACCCCCTCCACTTTCATGTCCCACTATAAAATGTTTAAATCAAAGAGGAACACCTTCTTAAATACATCATACACCAAAATAAATATGCCAGAAGAGTTCTACAATGATATAAAAAGAGTGGCTGTAGACTTTGTAAATAAAACCTGTGCCTGGAAATTCACTTTTTGAAAGTAATTTTCTCCCTTACTTTTGATAGTTTTCAAACATACTTTATAATTATTACTTGCTGCAATGTTTTTTTAAAAAGAAGCTCATTTTATTGCTTGCTTTTTCTGTTACTTTTCAGGAGGAAAAGCATTAGGATCTATAACTTTAAGATGGTCAAAATGCTCTCTTAAAAGGTCATTGATAAGTAATTAGAACATCTTACTGAACCAAGGAAGTGACTTGGTTCCTACTTATTATACTGTGTTTTAAATATGACTTCATTGTACTCTCATAACTAAAAAGAGAAGGGTAACACTAACAACTAAATGTGTCACTTGTAACCCATGACTTTCAGCTCTGAGAAACATGTACATTAAATCAATTGCTAAAGAATCGTTGAGAATAACTAGGAGATTGCTGAGAGGATCTGCTAGGCTGCCTTGTTGCTGATCAGGAAAGCAAGCATATAAAATGAAGGTGTTTTGTTTTTGAACCTGTGACCAAGTGACAGCTGAGGAAGAAATGATTCACTCTGCTTGTTGTTGAGTTTCACGTTACAGTGCAAAGAGGAGAGTTACACATCTTTATGCAAGGCACAACAGAGTTTCTTTACATACACACACTTTTCTCTCTGCAAATTATCCAGAATAAGAAAATCAACCATTTCTCTCCCTCCCATGCACACAGACCCAGGCAAAGATCAACACATAAAAAAAAGCAAGCAAAGAATTTCTTTTGCCTATCTTTTGTCTTACTGCACACTCAAGATCGGGGTCTGCACATGCCATTTTTAAATGTGTCATCTTTTCTAATCATGCTGCCTCCATCCATGTTTCACATCCTACTTGTGAAAAATCATACTATCCCCACCAAAAGTAATATATAAGAGGCTCTCTTATACCCAATCAATGTGCAATATTTTATTACTAGACCAAAACAAATGTAAGCCTTGTGCTATAATCTAGCACGTGTTGTGTGAGGTGTGCATGAAGCAATGCCACAACCTCTTATTGGCTAACATATATGGCACCACAATAGATAAACACAACTACCATATATTCTAAGAATCATATTTTTATAGCCACAGCTCACATAGCATGGTACTCACACACATCACATAACAATGCTCAGAATATTTAGGTACCTCTTTCTAGCTCATGTTATGTTACATTATGTTATGTTTTGGGCATTATTTTAAGCCGCTCCTGTTCTCTATGGCACTGAAGAGTCTGTGACGTTATGTACTGACATGTTGGAACCATGACTTTAATGGGGCTTTCAAGGTATGTGAGATATTTAAGGAGTGCTTTTACCAGTTACACACATACACATCCCAGTGAGTTTCCAAACCTGATTCAAATCCAGGTCTCCAGAGCCTTGTCCATCACTCTGTCGACCACACCACACTCAGTATCACACAGAAGGATATATCTGGCTATATTTCCTCCATGGCAGTAGATTGTATGGCTATTACGGAACAGCAAGACCCACCCATGGCATATGGACTAGATCAGTTTCTCCAACCTTTTTCGAGTTGCAACCTCCTTTTTAAAATAGTCAACCAACCTGTGATCCACCTGCCACATTTCCATAAAAAGGCATTTTAATGGGGTAAAGAAAGCACATTAAAATAGATTTTTCAGAATATAATTATAACCTAATATATTTATATTAAGGTGATAAATAATAATGGCAGGCATAAATCTGCCTCTACCAGATAAAATTTGAGAAGGAAAAGATGTCAATATATTTTGACCTCAATTTACTTTTTGGGGAGTGGAAACCACCCTCCCTGTCCCAAGAAAGCCCCCTAAGTTAAGAGTCGCTCCCCTTCAAACCCAAACAAGCACCTCTCTGCCCGGGTCCTGCCCTGTGCCCCACTCCTTCCCCAGTTCTGCTCCCTCATCTTATGCCCCTCTTGCTATGATTCAGGAGGCCCCCAGAGGCATCTCCCCCCTCTCTTCACTGAGCTGCTATTGACACACCCAGAAGAGCAAGAGAGACAGATGGAGGAGATGATGCCGCTGCTACTGCCATCATCTTGGGCATCACAATTGCCGGTGCGCACCACATGTCGTCTCATTCAGGCCTCTTTGAGCCAGGCTAACGCTCACTCGGGTCCAAAAGGCTGATGTTAGTGCTCCAGAGGTGGAGACGGAGGAGAAGAGAGAATAGAGTGAAAGGGCCTCTTTCGGAGGGGAAAGGGGGGATACGCATGCATAAAAAGAAAATACACCTAAGGGGATACAGAAATAACTAAACACTGTGAGTGAAGAGGATTAAAATAAAATAGCATTATGTATACCATATTTAATATAATAAATATAAAAATAGCTGTAACCAAAAATAATCATGGTGAACCCCCCCCCAAAAAAACCCACGTTGCGACCCCCAGATTGGGAAACTATGGAATAGATATTGCCTATGACTTGACATCTTCAGGACAAAAGCTAAAATGCAACAGGAACATGGGAAAGCACTACCATTACTATAATGGCACCCATAGTGGTATCAGTCTGACCCATTCCTATAAATAAACAGGATTTCTGTTGGACACAAAAATTCACGATTCAATATCTCACAGAATTTTCAAGTATCATTCAAATCCTGGCAGAGATTTACAACTCTAGTTCTGGTTTACCAAGCCATACTCTGGCACCTTGATTATCAAAACCTTGTAGCAAAGATGGAGATTGTAGAACATTGAATCCAAATTATTTTAAAGGTCCCATGTTTGGACATAAAACCCAGGCAATCAGATATGAAGTCTTTCCACCCCACTGCCCAAGGAGTACCACCCTAAGATGCCAGATCACTCAACAACACCCTAATATAGGTGAGTTCTTCAAAAAGAGATCAATGCAATTCAATAGAGAAAGATTGGGGAGAAGAAATATAATTCTGTACATAAGCATGAAATCTAAAGAGCATTTCATTAAGATGTGGATAGAGAAAGGAAATTCAAATACTGTACTAGTTTTAATATTCTGCCTGCTAGAAATAGATCCATCAATTCTACTAACAAAACTGATTCATTGGCAAGCAGGAATATTTAAAGGATCTTATGGAAGACAACCCCTTAAGGAATACACACCCTGATTGTTATTATTGCAACTTTTATTCAGACTAGTTATTTAAAGCAAACATTTTGGTTCCATTCTGACACTAGATGTTTTGTATTATATCAACAGGCCTTGGATTTTCCAGGAAAGCTAAGAGGAAAACCGTGGACATTTTCATTTCCATTTTCAACTGATTTCACATACAGTATATATACATATATTAGTTGAAAAAAGAAACAAAGATGTCCACTCTGGGCTGTAGCAGAACTGTGGTGTAGGAGAACAAGCACATTTCAAACCATGGCTTTTTATCCTTGGGTTTCTCTCTCTCTCTCTCTCTCTGTCTCTGTTTTGGGTCTAAGCTGTCCTTAGTGGTTATATGTGTGTGCGTAGAAACAGAAGCAACTGCTTCTCATCTGATGCCCTTGCTGGTGAAGAGAAAAGGGGGGAAACACATGACCAAGGCCTTAGTTTAGCAGTATACATGAAGCTGGTCACTGTATACCACAACATAAAGATAATACTGCATTTCATATATAGTATGTGCTCATATAGAGATATTTTAGTAAGTCTTGCTATAATCATTTAAGAACTGCATTTAAATAACACAGCATTAGCACTGCACTACTAAATTACATTTATACTTCAGGGGTGTGGGATTTCTCCTAGGCTTACCACAGCCATGGTATGAATAGCAGGAGTGAAAGCAGAATGGTGGAGAGAGGGATAATGATCATTTCTTCCTACCTACCTTCCTACTTAGGCCTCCTCCCCGCAAGTTAACTGCTTTGTTCTGAAACAGATAATCTGATTTAATGCTACCTGGGCATCATTCTGGGAGCTGTAGTCCAAGAATACCTGGAGACCCAAGGCTGGGAACCACTGATTTAAATCAGCTTATTCGTCTTCAGATGTTGCTGGACAGCAGCTACCATTTTCCCTCACCATAGGCTACAATGGGTAGGGCTGATGGGACTCGCAGTTCAATGGCATTTCGAGGACTCTCAGTTGTTCACCTTGGACTAAGAATCCAAGTCTGAGATCAATGAAGTTATGCAAATCTGAGATCAACAAGTGAGGCTCTCCGAAGCAGACTTTTGAAGCCTGACCTTTCCATGAAGGCTCTCCAGCCTTTTCCTTTCCCAAGTATTTACTGATATCTTTTCAACCTATGCCACAGTCACTCCATTGAAGTGCCCCAACTTTATGGTGCATCTTTGGGTGGCAGAAGGAGCTGGTACAGTGAGGCAAGGGTGGGGAAGGCTGGTTCCACCAGCTCAGCTCCGTGCACCTAACCCTGGATCCAGCCCCAACCACCACTGTTGCCAGTGGTACAGAACAACTATTTGTAAAATGCCAATAGTATCGTCTTGTACAAAATATCAGAGCATTGTGAAGTGGGGTCAGAGGATAAAGCAGAAAACAAAATCAGAAGGATAAAATGACTTTTGATAAAAGTAGATTTGGAATTCAATGGAGGAAAAATGAATTTGCTATGGGAAAGTGCCCCTCCCCCTCCCCCAAAAAAATCAACACTGACCAATTATGTGTCAAAAGCGGCCATGATGTTCCAGAGAAACTTTTGCAGAGGAAGATGATTTTGAGGAAAGATGGTACTGCTCTGGGCAACTGTTTCCATCTTTTTGTGGCGGATCTATTATGCATGGTAAAGTGTGTAAATACTATACCATCATGAATAGAAAATGTTTTGCAAAGGGGTCAGTATACCACCTAGAACCACAATGAGAAACTATTCTCCCACCCCCTTCATCATTGTTTGTTTTTACCATTGTGTATAATAGAGGTTATGAGATTTACCTGTATTTTAAAATTTGAATAGGCATATAAGGCTGTGCCTGCTCTTAGTAGAAGACACAGAACACCACTGAATCCTATCATAAATCATGGCAAATGCTCATTTAGCAGAATAAAGTTTTTTGCAGCTTCCAAATGATCTATAGCAAAAAAAAATGTCATCAGCTGTATTTTCACGCGGTACACAGTTGGTTGTACACAAGTGTCGCACCAGAAAAAGCTGACAAACTTTCCAAAGATGAAGTTGAAGCCAAGTTGAGTTGGGGAACAGATAAGCTGCAGTATATGAAGCCTGTCTCTGGGACCTGAAGCTTGATGTACATTATCCCTAAGAAACTAATATTTAACTTGACTAAACCTGCCACAGAATGCTTAACAAAGGTCATTACATACCCTGCAAGTCACATAATGATTAATAGCCAGTACCTTATTAGAGTTATGCATCAGGAATAATGTCGCACGAAAGTCGATACAGTACTGTATGTACTTGACTCAGGTTGCAATTCTGTGTCCAGCTACTTGGGATAACTTCATTAATCATAATAAGACTGACTTCTGAGTAAACATGTATAACTTAAGATGTGTACTGTCAGTGGCACACACATTTCTTGGAATGCTGTAAGTTACCATTTATTTTAGGGTCTTTTGTATAGTGATGTTCACCTTTCTATAGAGAAATGGTGTGTTCTTCATTGCTGATATCTATGCTCAATAAAATAAAATAAAAAATCACCGGCCAGGATATTGTATACTTTATTTCTGATGTAGTTGGAGACCTACTCTTCCTCAGTGGATAAAAGCATCTAAAATTAAATCAAGATACCTATATCCCCTCTACTTTTGTTGATGGACCATTAAAAATTTTCTAAAATCCCTCACTTATCACAACTAAGGCACACTATCTAGAGGATTCTGAGAGTAGTAGTCCTCCAAATGAACTTTTCCAACCTTTAATTTTGATACACACCTCTTCTGTGATCTCAGTTTTGAAGCTGAGTCCATCACCTACTACTGTTTCCTTTCTAAGGGTTAGATAGTACCTGTAAGACAAAAGCGTATTTTTTCCTCTTACAATACTATCCCTCAAGGCCCACAAATCCTTCAGTGCTGTGTGGCCAAGACACCAGTCATGCAAACAAAGCCATGCTTTCTCCCAACTGATCAATTAGAAAGCAAAAGCAAGTTGTTTGACAAATGTTTGCCCCTTTTCTCTTAAAGGTGTGCGGCTTCTAGACATGGAATCAGCATCTCACCCACAAATTCCACATGATATTGGCTATTTTGTACCACTGTACATCCTAGACACATGCAGCCTATTTTACAAGCTGCACAACAGTGTACAAACCCCTGAATAAGACACACAGAGAGTAAAGATATGCATGTATCTTGGTGTCTGTGTGCTCAGAGCTGACTGGGGTATTCTTTTCAAAAAAAATTATAGTTTGGATAATGAAAAAAATCTCCTTCCTCATCTTACAAAAAGTTTTATTTATAAAAATGTTTTAAAAACACAAAGTTGATCTCCTAAAAGCAATACACAGTTACGACAGATATTATTGGTATGAAGCCCATGTTTCAGCAAAATGACAGGTACTCCTTTTTTCAAAATGGCATTTCTTATGTGCAAATTATACTGATGCACACAGAAGAGTGATAAGACAGAAAATTGTCTCTACGTTTCTGGAAGAAGCTGCACCTGAAGTCTGTGTCCTCCATAACTATTTCTGCTGTTGTCCCTCCGCTTTCTTCACAATAATGTACCAATTGCCATGATCATAGCTTGAACTCAGTATGTTGACTTCAGGCACATTTTCTTCAAGCAGAGAGAACAACTCCCCTTCTCGAAAAACATGGTAGTACCGCATGAAGGCTTTTGGATCCTGTCCATGAGCAGCCTGGTTTCCCACAGCCAAAGCAGCATTTACAACAGATTCACTGGAGCTAGAAGAAGTCCTTCTAACATGTTTCCCTGCAAAAGAGCAAGTATTGCCTACATGGATATAGCCATTGTTTGTGTGTTCTATCGGACCACTCAAAAATGCAGTTTCTCCTTTGTGGCTCTGGATTAATGCAGGTGGCTCACCATTAAATTCTGTCAGTGACCTTGAGGCTGCTAGCCACTCCAATTTTTTGCAAGCCATATGCTTCATGAAAACTTCATCATAGTCTTCTAACTGCTGCCCTTTCAGCAAGGACCCTTGGCAACCCAAGTCTAAACTGCAGTGGCGTGATGGCTGAACAGATACAGTGCTATTTGTCCATCCAACTGTGTTCTTCAAAGGCTCCACCTTCTCATTTGGCTTTATAAAGGCAGATTCATCCAGGGATCTGGAGGAAAACCAGGAACGAACAGATCTCCCAAGGGCGCTATAAAATCGGTTTTCCTCCTCTTCAGAAATTTTCACACAACAGGCTTTGGTTAAGCAGCCATCAGTTCTTCGGGGATGCTTTTGATCAAGGGTAATAGGATAACTGTATTTGGAACCCATTAAATGGTGTGAATGTACACTCTGAGATTTTACAGTATGTGCAAAATCAGATTTCTGCCCAGCCTTACTGGATTCAGAAAGCAGCCGGGAGCACAAGGCTTTGTTCCATGGAACAAACACATCTTGTTTCTCAAAGTGTCGATTCTTTTGTTCCATAGCCCAGACATAAATCATCATCTGGCCTCCAGGTACGAGCACCCTGGCCATTTCTTTTATTGCTTTGATTCGTCTTTGCTTTGTGGAGAAATGGTGAATCACTGCAAAAGAAGCGAGAAGATGTTCTGGGTTCAAGGAGGTGTGGATTCTATGCTAAAAATAACTGAATTCTGCACACATGCACATGCGCGCGCACACACACACACACACACACACACACACACACACCCACACCGTTGTGCAACCTGTACAAATAATTTAAATCTGCATAATTTCTATTGTTCTGCATAATCCATTCCAGTATTTGGAATGTTATAATTGTGTTTTACTAATCCAGGTTGTCCTGATCCCTTTATCAAGCCAAATAAAAGTCACAACATTTTCTGTGCACACATTCCGGACTTTAAAAAAATTGTTGGGCATGAAGTTACAAAAAGCAAAGGAGAGAACCTGATGTACAAGCATAGTAATTTGCATGTTTTGCTACTTTGTTCCAACACTTAGCTGCCACCCTGCAAATTTTCATAACATCATGCCTGATGAAGATATTTTTTTAGTCTTGAAAGCTTGCACAGAACATTTTGTGACTTTTTAATTGGCCTAATAAAGATTATTAACACAACATGGATTTTGTCTTAGGGCCAACATGGTTTCGCTTGCATTCTGTTCTACCAGTCATGGGAAAGTCAAGAGCTGTGTAGTGCTAGCCCTCTGACAGAAGGAATACTTCAGTCAATTATCCCTCTGGTTTTATGGAATTTCAGCAAACATTCTGCTTAGTTTTAGCATATTTTCCCCACAGCCAAGATTTCCATCACTTAATTGGAGTTTTGGAGTTCACAACAAAACAAATGTACCCTGTTGCACTGGTTCCCAATGCTATCCCTCAAAATTCCCATATCTGTTTCAGAGATATTACATTTTCGCACATGAAATAAAACACAGTGTATTGCTGCTGGAGAATTGCAATTCTTTCTGTAGCTCATGAGGTCCCTGCAATTTGAAAGGCAGTTTGGAATGTGGATGGGGGAGCATCAAAAGCCTGCACAGATAATACCTGTAACATAATTCATGACGTATGACACCATAAGGTAGGGATGGGCCTTTCTTTGGTTTGAAGCATTCCATTTCCTATGTCCTGGGAAGCAGAGAACTCACCCTTTTAAAAGAGAAATGAGTCCCCAGCTGACCTATTGTCAATATTTTTGTTTAATCTCTCATCTAGTCACTAGCCAATCAATGGATAATATTTCCATTCTTTTTTACTGCCACTAATTCCACTATTTCTCTTTCCGTTTGCAATCTCTAAGTGATTTTTCAGTGTCCTCAATCAAAGAAAGATTTTTAAGAATGAAACATTTTGCAACATTAAAACTGTACGTATAAACAATAGCATTTCAATTAATCCAACCACCATTATGGTTTGCAGTGTAGGCAGGTAGCTAATCTCTCTCCTTCTGCTAGTGTGCCAAGTTAACTAGCTATCTTTGGTGAGCTTTGCTTTTTGCTGCTCCACAGCACCAACAAACAAATACAATTCTGTGTGCTTCAGACTGCAGGAAAAAAAGGAATCATTTTATACAGAGGCCAACCAGAGTGATTCATTTTGCAGAAAGGACCAGATACATCCTGACATCTTCTCTTAAAAGGATTGGGTAGCAGCTGATGAGAAATATCCCTGCCTGAGATCCTGGAGATCTGCTGGCAGTCATTATGCAGCTATACTGGGCTAGGTGGACAAACATTTTGAAGTGGAAGAAGGCAGCTTCTAATGTTCTACTCTTCATATACTGGGCATAATCAAGAAACACCAATGTGAAATGACCGGTGCATATTGAACATAACTCGTACTGTACTATTTTCAGACACTTGTACTATCAAATTTCCTTACCTCCCACTGAGATGATTGCATTGAAGCAGTGGCTCCGAAAGGGGAGATTCAGATTGTCACAGACCATCACTTCACAACCTTTACCTCTTGCAATCTCAACCAAAGGGCCACAATAATCACATCCAAGATTATATACCTGGCTGTTGACATCAAGATATTTTCCAGTCCCACAACCTTAAAACAACAGAGACCAAATTTTGTTACACAGGTAGGAGAAAAGCAAATAAAACCTCACACTCCTCTATTGTTCAGATACAATGACATCAAGGCAGAGTAGAATTTTATGTACGTATGTATTCTTAGGGTGAATGTAAACCATGGGGATTTTTAAAAACTCAAATAGTAAAAACACTGATCACTAAATGCTAAAAATCTTTGCTAATTAGCTCGGCACTGATTCGAGAATTGCATCCAGTGCTCATGCATTCAAAGGGATGGGTTACTTTCGTTACCTGCTGTGATTCAGTATATGTACTTCTTTTTAGCCTAACCATCTGCTTAACTAACATTTCAAACAGCCATCAAAATAAGCTGGAAGGATCGGCATGATCAAGCATCTGCTGGCAAGCCACAGCCTGGCAAAGGGCCCATCCCCAACCCAAAACACTAAGTTTGTTTCCCATTTCTTTATGGGAAAGCTATCTGGCAACAACAAAATAACAGCATAAGGGACCATGTGCTTTCCTCGATCTTCCTAGCACACTTAGCAAGAAATATATTGGTCACCCTATAAGCCACTGCAATAAACATAGGGCCTCTCAAATGAGAATCTGTTCCCTTCTGGGAAAGGTGCTGGATAATCAAAGTAATGAGGACTCCATAGGCCACAGAGAAATTATTTCCAAATTCTTTCTTGGTCTTTCTCACATTTTCTCTTGTGTGATATCACCAACTGGTACAGTGGGGTCTTGACTTGAGAACTTAATCCGTATTGGAAGGCGGTTCTCAAGTCAAAAAGTCTGTAAGTCAAGTCTCCATTGACCTACAGTGCATTGAAAACCGATTAATCCTGTAACAGGCCGTTTTTGTTCCATTTTGGTTTTTTTCTGGTCTGTAAGTCAAATCTCAGTCTGCAAGTCAAACCTAAATTTTGTGGCCAGAGAAGTCTGTAACTCAAAAAGTCTGTAAGTCAAGCCGTCTGTAAGTCAAGGGTCCACTGTATTTGGAGAACTGTGACTGTTATTAGAATGCACAAAATTGGGTGAGAAGACCAAAATTCATTGTATACTTCAGATAAAGTATTTTTCTTCTGTGTTATAAGCTGCCGTGTATATTTCTAGTAAGTGAAAATTATACTGATTCTTTGATTGTGCTAACACATGCACATACACTCCTTACCTATATCAGCAATAAGACTGCCAGGTTCTTGCTCCAGTAGAAACTGCCGAACACGAGGCCATGCTTTGCCTTGCAAGTCATTGAAATATATGGCTGTGCTCTCATAGACATTATGTACATGCTGCTTTTCTAGCTGGGAAGCCTCATGTTCCATCCTGCAATAAATGGTAGACCAATTATACATCAAGCAATAAGTACATAGAACACAACATCATTTTTCCAACCATTCTACATATACCAGGGAACCCTTCTTTGAAAAGTTACTAGGAAAGCATCCTGCAACTTTACTAAGCATCATGAACAATCACCCACCTGTTTCCACATTCCAAAAAGTCTTATTCACTTTCTTCTAAAGCAGTGTTTCTCAACAATAAGTCCAATAAATAAATAAATAAATAAATAAAAACAATCACCCACCTGTTTCCACATTCAAAAAATTCTGATTCACTTTCTTCTAAAGCAGTGTTTCTCAACATTGATAAATGATTGCCTGCTTCTGACAAATACATATGTACATTTCATCGCCCCTTCAAACCTGATTGTCCAAATAATTTTATCTAAAGTTTGAAATATTGGCCCAAATCTTGTGAGTCACAAACAGTACACTGAAGTAAAATGAATCCCAAAAATTGCCAAAGAAAGCCTTTAATCTGTGACAAGTTGCCACTACTACCCATATGTGAGCCCTGTCCCTGTTGGAGTTGGTGGGCAAACCCTCCTCCATCCCCATGTCCATTGAACTCCACAATTTCCAGCTGTGCTTCAGGAAAATTTATTGTAAGGGGGTGTGAGGAAGCACCAAAAAAAAGTTGAGTGCAAGGCGCCCCAGTAGAGATGGGCACGACTTTCTTCATGTCGCATTGTCGTAAATTGTTATTGTGACTCTGCAGGGTCAGCGGGGGAGGCAGCTGCTCTTGGGGGCACCGCTAATGAGCCTTCTGCCACTTTCCAGTATCACGGCTCTGTCAGTATGGGGGTCCCTTGGCTCCAGCTGGCAGTGGTGGTCTTTTCATTGTGGTGCACACTCTCTACTCCAGCAGAGTGCCTCCATCCAATGCACAATTCTGCCCTTTGGGGATGTGGAAGCACCTCCTGGGGCAGGTGCTTCCATCCCTTGTTCATCCAGGGATCTTTGCAGTATATATAATCCCAGTCCTTGTCAGGCTCCAAGACTTCCCCTGCCCCCAAAGCATCAGTCTGTGCATAGCCCCAGGCTCTCTCTTCTTGCTCAGAGAGCCACAGGTAGGCCACCCCAGACACCTGACATGCTTCCCCCCCTCTCTCTTTCTCTCACCAGCCACCCCACCTCCTTCAGTGCCTCCTTTACAGCCTCCAGCTGCAGAAATGCCTCACCCTCTTTGTCCCCCCACAGCAAAGCAAAGCAAAGCGTGCTGCTTATATACTGCCCCATAGCGCTTCAAGCACTCTCTGGGCAGTTTACAAGTTAATACGCAGCACTACTATGTCCCTTATCCATTTTCCATAGACAGGTACATATTGCCTCCCCAACAAGCTGGGTACTCATTTTACCGACCTCGGAAGGACAGAAGGCTGAGTCAACCTTGAGCCGGCTACCTGGGATTGAACCCCAGGTCGTGAGCATAGTTTTGGCTGCAGTACAGCGGTTTAACCACTGCGCCACGAGGCTCTTAGCGGTGTTCCTTTTCAATGGTGGCCTCCTTGCTCTCCTGGGAAAGGTGCTTCCACCCCTTGTTCATCTTGGAACCAGCAGCTGCTGGCTCCAAGAGTCTTGCCTAGGTGTCTGGAGTGGGAGATAACAGCCTGTCGGGGTGCTAGCAGTGGCCCCTTCACATCATGTCATCCCCACTGCACACACAGAGCTAGGCAACATGATTTCAGCCACTGTATCTAAAAACAAATCAATGCTTTGGCAATATTTTCTCAGGGAAAAATATTTAGCTCAAGTTTTTTAAAGATTAACTGTAGCATAACTCACAGATAAAACAAAGATAACAGGTCTTCTCATCAGAAGCTGTAAACAACTGCATACTAATAAAGCCATTGGTGTAATTTTTTCCTGTTTTCTAACTAAAAATATGATAATACTGAACATATTTTTTTAAAACTACAAACCTCCCTTGAAATCCTCATACACGTTTCCCCCATCGAAGGACCCAAACCACTGACTGAGAATCAAAGCTCCAAATCTTTCTTTGTTGCAATATAATCCCACCATTTAATTTGGTTTTCATGGCGATATGGTTGCTACTGTTTCTCCACTGCCAGGACTCCACATAAAGTAGTTGCTAAAATCATATATAGCACCTATAGCTATATATGTTGAAATATTTGTGAGAGTTTGTCCACAGCAGATTAAAGGTGAGTATAAAAAGACACAGATTATGAATATCATCCCTTGATACGCACATGTGTGTGTCATCTGATAAAAAATAATAATAATTCAGCCATAGTAAACTTTAAGAATATTTACCTAAAAATATGTTGCAGAATGAACAGTGATTAATTGAACATTTAACTTGGTACAGATTTGGTTTGTGCTTGACAGACGTCTTGCAACAGTTTCATAACAGAGACTTATCAGGTAGGTTTACTCAAAATTAATGCTACTATTGCTTGTTCCTCAAACATCCATTTTCCATAAAGGTAAAGGTTCCCCTTGACAATTTGTCTAGTCGTGTCCAACTCTAGGGTGTGGTGCTCATCCTCATTTCCAAGCCGTAGAGCCAGTGTTTGTCTGAAGACAATCTTCTGTGGTCACGTGGCCAGTGCGACTAGACACAGAACGCCGTTTACCTTCCCACCGACGTAGTACCTATTTATCTACTTGCATTTGCATGCTTTCGAACTGCTAGGTTGGCAGGAACTGGGACAAGCGACAGGAGCTCATTCCATCGCATGGATTCGATCTTACAACTGCAGGTCTTCTGACCTTGCAGCACAGAGGTTTCTGTGGTTTAACCTGCAGCGCCACTATGTCCCTTATCCATTTTCCATAGACAACCCCAATTCAATCAGATAGTTGCAATTTTCATCTTTCACATTTTCTGTGCTTCCTGTTTATTTAGTTTTACATCTCTCAAATGACAACCTTAGATTTAAGTCAGTGCAAACCGTAAACCACTTAAGCCTTTCTTATGTGCAGCCAACTTACTCTCACTAAACGCAAAGAGAACAAGTTTTCTTAAGTGTTTTATAAATGCAGGCTAAGTGTTCTTTCCACTCCTTTGTATATTTCTCTTTCTATCCTCTCTTGAACAGAAATGGAAAAAGCACAGCAGCTTACACTAAGTGCAGACCACTTTACAGAATTGCAAGCTTATGCCAACTATGCATCATACTACCTTGGCTGAAGGTTAAATTAAAATTTTTCAGCAAAGCCCAAAGGCAACATAACAATTGTGCTGCAGTAGCATGAAGCAAAGTATCTTGGATGTCTGATCTCCTGGCAAGGTTCAGAAAGCCTAGCAGAGGCTGCCTAAGTAGATCCTGCATGGACAAGTTCCACATTTTCCGCAGGACATGGTGAAGTGCACTTCATGATAGCACATGAATCAACGTGCTCTGATGCAGTTTGTGGGATAGTTGAGTATTAATAGCTGTGAGATCAGCTTTTGTCCTTTTCAGGAGATTGGGTGTCCTGAAAAGGACAAAAGCTGATCCCACAGCTATAAATACTCAACTATCCCTCAAATTGCAACAGAGCACAGACAGAGTTCTGACTCCTGTCCTCTGAAGATGCCGGCCACAGAGACTGGTGAAACGTAAGGAAGAAAAACCTTAAGAACACGGCCAAACAGCCCAAAAAAACCTACAACAACCATCAGATCCCAGCCGTGAAAGCCTGTGAGAATACTTAAGGAATTATTTTTCCTAATCATGGCCTATACGTAGAACATAATTTGGCCCTCTCTCAGCAAAAATAAGCTTGCAGCTCTGCTTTCAGAATTATGTCAAACTACTCAGGGAGGTTCACAAGAACCACCTATCCCCTACAGGTGGAAAATATGAGAAGAGTAATCTCAGAGATGTGTTGGCTAGCCCACTGGTTCTTAACCTTGGGTTACTCAGGAGTTTTGGACTGCAACTCCCAGAAGCCTTCACCACCAACTGTGCTGGCTGGGGTTTCTGGGAGTTGCAGTTCAAAAACATCCGAGTAACAAAGGTTAAGAACCACTGGGCTAGCCCAACTCCTGCTGCTGACACATATTGTGACCAAATTCTCTACTGCTGGCACTTTTGGCAGACAGCATAAGAAAGAACTCTCCATGTGCAAAGATGCATGCATGGAGAACCAATGCATTTAGACTGGACAGATAGGCCAATTTTTATCTTACTCAACTAATAAAAATAAAAAGTTAATTAGAAATGTAATTTCATGAAATATGCCTCTTCAAGGGCTGTCCCAAGACACCACACTGCTTGGGGGAAAATATCAAATGTCCCACATCCCCCGCCCCTAGTTTTCTTGACTAGAGAAAGCCAGTCAAGATACTTTAGCACATCATGCAAAAAAAAAAATCATACAAGGACCCCTCTCTGTACCTGGCAGTAAAAATACCATAACAAACAAGGAAATAACAAGTTATCATCCTTTTCTGACAGGCTGGAATGGCTGTCTCAATCTCTTTGATGATACAGCTGATCCTGGCTTGTCTCCATTGCCACTACATTTTGAATATCTCCAAATAAATTTACATTGAATTATGCATTTTTAAAGCCACCTCAGAATTGTGTTTTTTTTTTTCAAAAGTGCATATTTGTGATGATAATGATGATGGCCACAGCAACAACAACACTGACATTGGTGGTGTATTAAACAGATTAATATGAGTATTAAACAGAAGAAGAGGAATCTTTCTACTTCAAAAGTCTTACAGTCTAGAAGATACAATGGAGATGACAGAAGTAGAATAATAGAATAATGGAGTTGGAAGGGGCCTATAAGGCCATCGAGTCCAACCTCCTGCGCATTGCAGCAATCCAATTAAAGTGTATCTGGTAGACGGCTGTATAACTTTCTCTTGATGCCTCCAGTGATAGACAGATCACCACGTACCAAGGTAATTGGTTCCACTGTTGTACTGCTCTGTTAAGAAGCTTTTTATGATATTCAACTAAATCTGGCTTCCGATACCTTGAGACAATTATTGCATGTCCTGCACTCTGTAATGAT